GACCTCTTCTTATCTATTTGATTAATAATCTAAGGATCTTAATGCACCCAGGATGATGGAAATCCATGGAAATCTTGATTGGGAGCGTTATTTCCAACATTTAGATTAATTCACCTATTTGCCTCCCTTTTAGAGTTATTTTAAGTTACCACTTCACTTCCATAAAAAAATCCTCCCCCCTTTCTTACCCCCTTTTCTTGGGTGACAATCAAATCCAAATAAACTCAATGTTAGCTATGACTCAAAGACTAACTCAACTCCAAATAAATCAACTTTAAGCTAATTCCACCATAACTCCAAATCAATTCCAAATCAAACATAACTTTATACCAATCTCAAATTCATATTTGATTTGTTGTACTCTCAACTTGAAGATAAAATCAAATTTGACTTGTCTTTATTTCAAGCTTAAGCCAAATTCAAACCTCAAACTTGATATCCAAATATGATTTTCACTCTCAACTGACCAAAGCCCTAGGATTTCAAAATCTTAGAACAAAAATTAAAATTTAAAACTTGAACCTAAATGTAAATAAACTTAATTAAATTTTAAACTAATTCTTAAATATAATAAGTTTTAACTAAATTTTATTTAAAAAAATTTAAATTTAATAAACTTAATTAACTTTAACTTTAAAAGATCTCACCAAACATTAATAAACTTAAAAAAACTTAAATAATATATAACAAATTTCAATAACTTAAACAAACTTAAATTAAATTTAATGAACATTAACAAACTTTAATAAACTTTCACAAATTTAACTAAATTTTAACAAACAAAAATAAATTTAAATAAACTATAACAAACCTTAATAACCTTCAATCTTAACAAATCTTAAAAAACTTTAATGAATTTAACTTTAACAAATTTCAACCAACCTTAAAAAACATAAATGAACCTTAAGACTTTCAAGACAATCCAAGAAAAAAAAAATATTTCAATAATTATATTAATAATCCTTAAAAATTAATACTCCTTGAATAAATTACAATAATATTCTTAAAATAAACGTTTAAATAAACCTAATATAAACCTAGTTATCTTAATCAAGATAAATATTAAAAACAATTTAAACAAACATAAAATAAACAAAATTTAAACATATTCTAATGAACAACTTATAAAACAAACTTAAATCAAATAAACGAACAAGTCAACTTAAAATTTCAAATGAAATCAAACTCATTCAACTCAAGTTCTCAGCTAAAGTGAAACCAATACTATTAATTTCATAAAAATTTTCAATTCTGGCTAAATCACTTTAAAATCCACAAATAATTCAGTCTATATCATCTCACGTTCACTTATTAATAATCATAAAAGATAAAAGCATAAATTTTAATCAAAAGTACTCTCAGGAGCCTCTACTCCTAAATGTAATTAACTATTAGGGCTTCCCCTCATAGGGATACCAAACCCTAGAGTAAAATATATCTTATCTTACACTCATAAAGTAAAGGGAAAACCTTTGGTATTGTAGATGCATAATTTATGGAGATTTTCATCATCCAGGTGATTTGATTATTATAAGGTAATATTTTTATCTCTCGAGGTTGAATGTTATCTTGAAATGCCATCTCTAATTATTTAGCTAGATTTCTTTTGATATCTATTTTAGATGCACGATAAAAAAACCTCACCAACTATGTGTTGAAATACATTTTTTTTCTCTAAGCCTTGGTATCTCACCACACCTATCAGTGAGTTGTGAAGGTTGACATTCTATCCATGCCCACTAAAAAGGGTGGTTGACGCTAAGAGTTTGACAAAATTTTGAGTGACTGGGACTTGCAAATAACTAAATGTTTTTTTTGGATTATTTGAACTTATATAGTAACTTAAATGTGAATTATTTGAGCATAAAAAAAATTGAATTTGAACTTTTAAAATTTAGGCTCTAAGGATTTTGAAAATAATTTAGATTTGAACTTTAAAGTTTATACCTTTAGGACTTAAATAATCTAAATTTGGGTTTTTAACTTAGGCTCTTAGGAATTAAAAATCAATCCAAAATTTAGGCTTTTTACAAAAGCTCCTAGAGTTTGAACTTGGAAAAATGAATTAAATATGTAATTGGGGCCATATTTAATAAATTTGATTTTCAAAGCTAAAATAAAGGCTTAACATTCCAAACCCACCACCGGATTTGCAATTAAAACTAAGAAGCACACAAATGGTGTTCTTTTGAAGCGGTCAATGTGATTCATGTACATCATTATTATAAACTTAGCACATAAACCTTTCAAGTTTTTTAATGATTTCATGAGCTTTAAGTCAATGTTTAGTCCAGAGGCAATATTTTAAGATTTGTGCAAATGTGTTGCTATTTTTTCAAGTAGTCGTGCAAAAGGTTGTCAATTTATGTGCATGCATTCTAATGGGAAGTAAGAACTATCAGTTAAAGCATCAAAAATTTTTAAGACAACCTTCATATTTTAAGAAATATTCCCATGGTTGATGCAGTGCATTAAGATATGTACAAGCATGTTATAAAATATTTGATTGTAATCTTTGAATAAATTAAATGACGTGTTATACTACTATTAGAGTAAAAACTATACACCCGCATGTGCTCTGTTGAAATGAACTAAGTATTTAAAATTAAATAGTCTAAAAATGTTGTGTTGGTTTGGATATGGTATTCACTCTAATTAATATCTTTTTTTCTTAAATCAATTAATCAAATGACCTTGTCTATAGGAAAGGCTTGTAAGTCTTACCCAAACATCATGATCCTCCTCCTCATAAGGTCTAAACTTCATGAGTTTACTAATTTTTAATAATGTTCAAATAAGATTTGCAAGCCCAAATCACCTTGTGAAATCCTCCTCCTTGTAAGAACATGAGTTCATAGGAACTATTTTTTAAGGATTTTAGACTAACAAGATTCAAATGAATCTTAAACATTAAAGTTTTAAATATTAAATCCTTCATGATGGCATCATTGACTGAAAATTTCAACCGGAGTGTCTCCTTTTAAATTTATATTTACAAAAAAATTAAACTAAAACATTATTTTACAATTAGATCACTTAAGAATTTAAAGCAAATCTTGTCCACCCTTTTTAATTGTTTATTTTGGGGAACAAAATTTTTATTGACTTCAACTCACAAAGAGCGAGTGTCACTTCAAGTGTATCACTGTATTCACATTCAATGAAAATTCACTCCGGTAAGTATGTAGCTCGAGTCTTCTGTCTGTATGGTTTGGCCTAAAGGCTCTACAAATAGTAACAGTTATAATCATAGCTCTCTAACCGAGTTGTTACCACCAAAAGACGCTATTATATTACGGTCACAATCACAACCTATATGTTCCCTAATAGCTTTCTATCCATTGAGATATGAATCATAAGGGTATAATTGATTAACATAAAGTCTTCTGTTAGCCAATGATGACTTAAAATTTTCTCCATGGACAAACATTTATTCCAGATCTACATAGATTTATTGGATGACACAACTCATATTGGAGACAATGATTCTTCAATCAGTAGGTCAACTATCTCTTTTGACTAAGTAGATCAGGAACCAAAACAGTCAGGAATGACGGAATGATGAGATCATGATCGAATTCATCATCATTTCCTCCACCATCCACTTTAAGCTCAATGTGCTAAATTTAATAATTTAAACTCTGGGTTGGCTACTATTATATGTTACATATTCAACTCTAAATGACTAGCCTTATTAGGAGGGAAATTTAACCATAGGGGCTTGCACCTATAAGAAACCTGGTTAAATAAAAGTCATCACAAAATGAGTGCAAAACGTTTGGATTGTATCCTATCAACATTACAATCTTCATTATAAAAAATTAACCTGATAAAGCTCTGAGCTAACTAAGGTCTACGAATACATGAGAAGATGTGACCATAAGATCTTGATCGTGTGGTGACATCATTCCCCAACAATATGCTTTTAAGCTCATAGTGATAAATTTTGACCCAAATGTCTAAGTGAGGGTGAAATATCTAAGTAGTGTCTTATCTATGATTTTAGTTATCTTCAAAAATAAATTTTGACCAAAAATGTTTCAGTAAATTCCCTTGTCATTCATTTTTTTAGAGAGATTAGGGCAATAAATTTTCAGAGCCCATAGATGATTATAAAAGTATCTTGCTAATTATAAATATTAAACATGCCTCTCTTAAGTGATTGAGATCCTATTTTATTAGCATTTTAATTGCATGGTATAATAACCCTTCATCCAAGTTATTTTGAAGATTTCATTAGAATTGAGGGGGTTAAAAAGTATTGATGGAATTGCAACAATCCAAAAACATAATGAATTATTGAAATAAAATTGGTATAATAACCCTTCATCCAAGTTATTTTGAAGAACTAGCATTGATTTCATTAGAATTGAGGGGGTCAAAAAATATTGATGGAATTGCAACAATCCAAAAACAAAATGAATTATTGAAATAAAACAATAGCATAATCATGCTTGTAGTATTTACCAGCCTGTAGAAAGATTACTTTCCCTTAACAATATTTAAATTAAAAAAAATCTCATTGTATCTGCCTAAGTATATCAACATATTTTCAGCATCATATTTAAGCCATGCATCTGAAAAGATGTCCAGCCTGTAGAAAGATTACTTTCCCTTAACAATATATAAATAAAAAAAAAATCTCATTCTATCTGCCTATGTATAACAACATATTTTCAGCATCATCTTTAAGCCATGCATCTGAAAAGATGTAATGTTTGCGCAAAATCACCTCATACTCTAAGCTCCAATTGTGTACAAATATTACATCACATAACATGTTAATTAAAAATGCCTCTGACTCATGTGGCACAAGTTCGAACCCAAATAATATTATAAAAAAATAAAAATAATTAATTTATTATTCTATTGATATGACAAATTTGATGCTCTAAGAACATTTTCATACTAAACAAGGGTTAGAAATATGAACAAAAAGTTCATATCACATCAAGAGGATTAAATCATAATTGTCAATAGAAAATCCTTTTTTTTTTTTTTCATTTCCAAGGTTTAACAATTGTGAGAACAATAATGGCTGCAATAACTAGAAGTAGGATGATAGCTATCATCATGCATTTTCTTGATTTCTTCTGCAGGGTTTTTGCGATTTGGAGAGCTTCTGTTCCACTTTGTACGTGGTTAACTGCATTCGCTACCTGAAACAGAAAATAAAATCTTAAGAAACGTTTAACAATATAATTTAGAGGCATTTGCATACATACCATATACTTATTCTATATTTGCATATCTGATAGCAAAATTTTAATTTTATTTATGTAACACTCAAATCCTTGATCTCACAAATAAACCTTAATGTCACATAAATACCTCTAATATTTATTTTTTTCAACTGAAAGAGCGTATTTCATACATATGTTTTGATATAATCATGAGAACAATGTATTATATAAGTTAATATGAAAGTTTAGATAAAAGTTTTGTGTTGATATGTAATGCATTTTGTTACCTTTTTTAAACTCAATCTAGGAAAGAAGTATTTCATACATATGTTTTGATATAATCATGAGAATAATGCATTATATAAGTTAATATGAAAGTTTAGATAGAAGTTTTGGGTTGATATGTAATGCATTTTGTTACTTTTTTTAACTCAATCTAGGAAAGATTTAGTGGCAAACCTGGTTTTCAATATTATCTAACAGCTCTCCTTGTGATTCAACCAGAAGTGCCATGTCTGTAAATATCTAAAACAAAAAAGATTCCATAAAATTAGCATAGTTTTGGGGACAAAAACTATGATCTCACACATTACATTACATTATAACCTAACAAGGGTTGATGATGACATTATAACAATAAATACCAAATGCAAATCCAACAATGAAAAGAACAGAAATTTATTTATTTTAAAGGTTAAGTGAGATAGGCATTTATTTTAATTAAGGTTATTGTTCATTCTGAATCTGTTCGGGAGACATGCCTAAGGTATAGAGTGCTATTAGAAAAAAGATAGAGAGAGAGAGAGAGAGAGAGAGAGAGAGAGAGGTACTAATAAGAATGGATCAATGTACAATACATATTGTACCCCTAAAATGTGTTGGTATGGCGGGGGTGTCTTAGTCCGTATATAAGTTCGGCCTATGGAGTCCGTGGACGTGGTCGGTCAGAGACCATTGGACTGAATGGCTACGAGGCCAGGGAGCTGCATGGCCAAGAGGTTACAAAGTCGGGCGGCTGCATGGTCGGATGTCTATTTGCTAAAAGTCTCCATCAGCCGTCCTAGAGTTGAGGGAATCCCTTCCCTCTTTTCGACCTCATACAAATTCAGAGGCATCGGGTTCATCTACTCGGGCTTGATCAGCGGAATTCTTCAAGGTAGATTCTCTCTTTTTAATCTGTTAGTGGCGCCCCGCCTCTACGATAAGATGAACTGGGTGATAAATCACATGGTTCGGGGGCTCCCATGGTAGGCTGTGTTAGTGAGATTTCTTCGTTATTCGTGTTGGTATCTTTTTTATGTATGAAGTTCCTTAATTTGCTAATAAAGATAAGGAGTTTTATAAGAATAAGATAAATCTCATAGCGATATTTATCTATTGACATCATAAATACACTTCCCGGACTTCTTCTATGTCAACGATCGCCATATATAGGACAACTTCAATGTTGTAAATTTGTTCATTGTTTGGATCTCCGCTTGTTGTTAGTAGCTTCATTATGGAGAAGGAATCTAACTCCATACTGAAACCTGGTGATAAAACCATGATCCTACCCGCTCTTAGAGTCAGATCATGTCATCCAGAGGGAAAATCATTGATGAGAAAACTATTCAAGAGGTTGAGACAGGTTGAAGATGTGAGGGTGGAGGTGTTGTCAGATTTAGCTCGGGTGAACCAGAAAGGAATTCACCCAAGGTTGGTGCTGAGCAGGAGGCTTATGCGGTCAATTCGTTGGTGAGGGCTCCCTTAGAAGCCCAGATGCAGTCGACTGCATTGAGCATTCCCCCCTGCTAAATACTCAGGGGGCTGGCAGTGTAGCCCCTTATCTGGCAAGATAGAGCCTGCAGATGGCTTTCTGTTTCGTGGCGCGGGCAAAGCAACATGGTCCAAAGTGAACTAGGTCCTGCGTAAAATGTCATATGTTCCCTTTACCCTCTCCTTTTTACAAGAGTTTGTTGTTTACCGATGATTTTTCATAGATGCAAACCCTTGGACAAACACTTTTTAGCCAGTGCTGGTGGTTCAATCATACGAGCAGTACTATTTCCTAGAGAATTGGTTGACAGTGAAGAGGATATGGTTAGTCATCTGGCTAGACCTAACATGATTTGGGATGAGACCCTTGAGTTTCGTTGGTTGTCCCTTAGAGCCCTAACTAACATACCATCTGGTGGAAATAGAGATGATCTTGACATGTCAAAACGGGGATTTAAAAGCCGGACTAGGGGAGATGAGTGGAAAATTGGTCGCTCTTCACCATTAGATTTTTTAGCTCCAAGAGGACGCATTTGCTTTGAAGGTCAGTTCTGATGTTGACCAAAATTTAAGCTCAGTGGCCAAACATTATTTAGGTGGCTTGTTAGGAGAGGTTTAGTATTTACCATGGCGACCGAGGGTCAACTGGTGAAATATTTCCTTTCAGACTAAATCCTTATGTAATCATTCTTTTAGGGAAAAATAAAATGTTTATTTTTGTAATTTTAGTTGTTTGCATTTGAAAAGATGTCTTCATCGGTCTCTACATGAGGCTTCTCGTATTCCGTCCTCTTTCTATAAATGGGATTGAGGGACTTTTGAGCATGTCATCTGGTTTTTACCTTTTTGGCTCTCTGATTTACTCCCATCATCCACATGTCTCCAAAGAGGACCCCTTAGATTTTGGGCTAGGTGGTCGCAACCAAATGATCAGTTCTATCATCATCAGATGTGGCCTCTATTAAGGAATCTTTTGTTTTTCACCCTTCTATTAAGCTGCATACCGCCCATCTTGATGAAAGAGTGACCGAAAGGTACATAGTGAATTAGTGATGTGCTGTGACCAATTTAAATGTGGGTTGTGGCTGCCCTTGTGTCACAAAACTCCGATCAATTATTAATCGGTATGGGCTAATTCCTGCTCAAGTTAAACCGAATTCAGTGGTGGCAATTATGACCTACGTCATTTTTTTGTCGATGACACAATGTCCCATGTTTTGTCGACGCATTCAGTCACCTAGTTTCATTTTGCATGGAGTTGAATGGTTGTGCCCAATTTGGAACAACTGGTAGATTCCAATTTGCTAAGCTAGGGCACCAAGTCCGAGATTGGAGATGTGCAGTCTTTGTTTCCTCTTCTACTGACGTTTAGGGAGTCAGAACTTATTTTTTGGTGTCTCATTTTGGAAGAGGAATGGGACTAACTTCCCTTGGGTTGGTTCCTATAGACTCGATTCTATTTCTGGAAGTGTCAAGTCAGATGTCAGCTGAGCTTTGGGATGTCTCTGATGCTATGGATTTTACCCCTCAGTGCTTTTAGAGGCCATCTGGGGTCGCCCGCATTCTCAAAGTCCCTATGGGAGTTGGAGCAATCCGAGCTATATAAGATGACCGACTACTATAATCTGAAAGAATGGGAGGCTTCTCACCTCCAATCGATGGACTTGGAATTCGCTGAGAAGAAGTGGGCCGCTCCTATGGAACAATCTGAGATCTCAGCAAAGCTAGCAAAAGAGGTGGAGAGGCAAGTTGATGCGGCTGAGAAGAAGCTCACCGTGGTGGCAGAAGAAATTTCCTCGGCCTTGGAACTATTTTCATTCCTGGTCGAAGAGAATCACCATCAGAAAGAATGATATGACGACTATGAGAACTAAGGAGGAGTTCTCTCTGTTTTTGTCCCACCCTAAGCAAGTGAAGCTCCTAGAAGAACAACTTTGTTTTGGGAGTTTGACAATAATTGATCGACTCATCCGGTCGGATTTGGTTGATCTAAAGTAGTCTGGTCCTCGAGAATTTGTTGCTCTCTAAAGCAAGTGAAGCTCCTAGAAGAACAACTTTGTTTTAGGAGTTTGACAATAATTGATCGACTCATCCGGTCAGATTTGGTCGATCTAAAGTAGTCTGATCCTCGAGAATTTGTTGCTCTCTACCTCTCTATCTAGTTTCGAAGGGTCGTCCGGGGACAATTTAGGCCCTGCAAACGAACGGGGTTCTTCCAGCCGACTTCTAGATATTTGAAATTTTCTTTTGAATGTTATTTTTGTAAACATTTTGTGTAGCTAATATTTATAGATTTCTTTTGTACCTTTTGATTTGTTTCTATATATGTTTGTGGTTTATACTTTCGTGTCACGGTTTGGGCCGTGTTTGGCTTTCTCTGGAGCTTGGGTGAGTCTCCTCACTAATTTAAAATATTATCTCCTGAGCCTTGAGTTGGAGTGATTCACGCCTTACTTTCTTTGGCACTTGTCGTTATTAAGTAGGGTGCAACCCCTTGGATTATTATGTTTATTCATTATTAATATTATTTCTCTCTCTCTTTATCTCTTTCTTTTTCCTTTTTTTTTTGAATTAGTTGGACCATCTTAGTGTATTGGTCGGCTATCTTTATACTTGGCACCAACCAAACGATCTTGGCGCCATTGTTGACAATCATCTTTTCTTGAGTCAGATTGGGCGATCGTGGTGCCATGATTTGTCTGTCTTTTTTTGGTGCTCGACTGGGCGATCTTAACGCCATGACTAGATATCTTCATCTCCTGGGTCAGACCGGGTGATCTCGTCGACATGATCTGTCGGTCTTTGATTGGTGCTTAGTATGGCGTCTTGGCACCTCAACTGACAATCATCAACTCTCATGTCAGACCAGACGATCTTGGCACCACGATCTTCCTGTCTTCACTTGGTGCTTAGTTGGACGATTTTAGCGCCACGACTGACAATCCTCATCTCTCGAGTATGACTGAGAGTTCTTGGCATCATAATCTCCAGGTCTTCTCTTAGTGCTTAGTCAGGCGATCTTGGTGCCACAGTTAGCAATCTTCATCTCTCAGGACAGACCTGGTGATCTTGGCACCACGATCTGCCAATCTTCACTTGGTTCTCAACTTAGCGATCTTGGTGCCACGACTGACAATCTTCATTTCCCAAGTCAGTTCGAGTGATCTTGGTGCCATGATCTGTTGGTCCTCCTTTGGTGCTCAGACCGGACAATCTTGGCACCATGGCTGATAATCTTCACCTCCCTCATCAGACAAGCCGTTATTAGCGCCATGCTCTGTAGGTCTTCACTTGGTGCTTAGCTGAGCAATTTTGGTGGCACGACTGACAAACTTCACCTCCCGGATCAAATCGAGTGATCATAGCATCATGATATGACAATCTTTGCTTGGTGCTCAATCAAGTGATCAAGGTGTCGCGGATGGAAATCTTCATTTCCCTAAAATTTTGGTATCTTTATTAGTGCAATGCTCATTAACCTCATGTTTATTTTTGGTAGGATACTAGATAAAAAAGAAGTTTTGAATGGCCAACAAGATAAGGGAATAGTATTTATGTAATACTTTTTTAAGCAACGAGTATGGTGGTGAATTCGTAGAAAGAAAGAAAAGAGAATTTCTCCAGAAAAGCTAGTTGTAACATCGAAGTCATGTGACCCACTCCTCTTGGTTCCCTCCTATGAGTTCCCCTGAGGGGCGCTTGTTCCTCCAATGACCGTTGGGACTTTTCTGGCGAAATGGGCGACACTAGTCAAAAGAGGCCTAGATAGGGCGACACTAGTCAAAATGGGCGACACTCGTAAGCCCTCATAATCTTTGTACGGGTGTCTGCAGCGCAAAGCCGACCTCTCGTGATAATCAAGCAATCACAGACACCGATTACATGTCTTCCCACCGCACTGGTTATGCCACCTACTTCTGAGCCCTTCTAGGATATGGGCGACACTAGTCAAAAGAGGCCTAGATAGGGCCTCTAGTGCTAATACTTTCCCCTATCTCCGGCCCATGTGTCCCTGCACCATGAATTCCTTTAGTTTCGCCACCTTTATCATTTCTTCAATGAGATTCCAAAGGAGTTTGCATTCCTCCATATCATAATCGTGGTCTCGATGGTACTTGCAGTACTTTCTTGTGTCTCAGAGAAAACATCTGGCTCTCAACAACTCGGGCTTTTTAAACTATTCCTTTTTCTGAATGGCATCCACAATTTTTTTTCATCGGGTTGAGTAGCTCGTAAGCCCTCATAATCTTTGTACGGGTGTCTGCAGCGCAAAGCCGACCTCTCATGATAATCAAGCAATCACAGACACCGATTACCTGCCTTCCCACCGCCCTAGTTATGCCACCTACTTCTGAGCCCTTCTAGGACGGTTGGTCGTATTAGAAATGACATCAGATGGGTGGTCTGCGTCTCTCAGTTAGTCTTGGTCCTCCTCCTAGGTGACCTCTCTTTTTTGCATAACACCATTTTGGCTTCTGCTTGGGGGTACGTACCACAGCCAACATGTGCTTGTTGGCGCTCTCCGATAGCTTGAGCAAGTCTTAGGGTTTGTTAATAATGTGGTCGTAAGAAACCTCTCGGACCTTAGGACATTTTTCAAGGAGGCTACGACCGCGTTGACTTTAAGGTCCTTTACCTCCAACATTTCCCTTTGGAAGCATGCCATGAAAGTGCATAGGGTTTCATGCTGACCCTACTTAAGCTGTTATAAGGATTGAATGCTTTTGGTAGGATTTCAGGAGCTGGCGAACAGTGCCACGAATGACCTCTTGAACTCAGCAAAGTTCTTGATGCTTCCAGTGGGAAGTGTGTGGAACCATGTCCAGGCTAAGGACCTCAAAGTGATTAAAAACAGACGACACTTAAATGCGTGTGAAATTTGAGCAAGCATACGGACAACTCAAATGCGATGATATATATAGATGTCCAGGCTAAGGACCTCAAAGTGATTAAAAACACACGACACTTAAATGCGTATGAAATTTGAGCAAGCACACGGACAACTCAAATGCGATGATATATATAGTCAATGTGGTATGAACTTCCTCTGTAAGCCTGCAAGGCCGACAACTTAAATTTCTTCAGGGGCACTGCTCCAGATATCTGGAGGGAAAAAGCGTTCTCTGGATGACGCGACGTCTCTGTACACCGTACTGGTCACCTTTCCACTTGTGCCGACCCTACACTGTTATAGTACTGCGAGTCACCGACAACTTCAGGACCGTCGTTCATCCTTCTACCGTTTTGCGTTTGTTTCACCTCTTACGGTCAGCTTTGATCTTGTTGGGCCTGATTCCCCATCAAGGTTGCGACGACTTTTATAACTTTTGGTATCTGGCTCGACACTTGCTCCATGATCTGAGGCCTCATCTCCTGTATCCCTTTCTACATTTATTCCTCGATATCGTCTCATTAAATATCCACATTAGCTACCACTCATTGGTTGCTCCTTTCTCTCTGGGTTGGTTGTTCTCATCTTCTTGTTGACGACATGACTCACTGCACATCGCACCTTTTAGGATGTTGAATTTGAATTTGTCCGGAAGACACGCCTAAGGTATAGAGCACTACTTTAGGATATTGAATCTGAATCATCCGGGAGACACACCTAAGGTATAGAGTATTACTAGATGAGAGAGAAAGAGAGAGAGAGAGAGAGAGAGCAATGACCTAGTATTGAACATGAATGGACCCCTTTTTATAAGAATGGGTCAATGTACAATTACATACTATACCCCTAAAATGTGTAGGTACGGCGAGGGTATCTTAGCCCATGCATAAGTTTGGTCTATGGCCGTCACGTGGCCAACCGACCGGATGGTTATTAGGTCGGGTGGCTGTGTGGTCGAATGGTTACAAGGTTGGGCCGATTGCATGACTGAGTGGTTACAAGGATGGGCGGCTGCATGGCGCATCAGCCGTCCTGGAGTTGAGGGAATCTATTCCATCTTTCCGATCTCAAACGAATTACGAGTTGTTGGGCTCGTCTGCTTGGGCTTGATCAGCGGGATTCTTCAAGGGAGATTCTCTCTTTTTTATTCGTTAGAGGTGCCCACCTCAAAGATAAGGTGGACTGGCCGATCGAGCACATGGTCTGGGGACTCCCATGGTAGGCTTTGTTCGTGAGATTTTATTGTGATTCGTGCTACTATTTTTTTGATGTACAGTTATGAAAGAAGTATTAATCCAAAAGAAAGTCAACTAATGAAAATTTAATACTAATCAGATCTTCGTAAAGCCGACTCAAAATAGACGAAATTTAGGATTAGATACCTGTTGAAGCTCGATTAATTTTTTTTCGATCTCCATGACAACATCATGCCTTTCTTGAATCTCCTCCAAGGTATCAACCACCTGAAACCATTTTCACTTTTAAATAATTAACTTGTAAAATCAGATTATCAGTTTCACATTTCAGATTAGTAAAAACCTGTCCTCTCCCCATTTCATTAATAGCCTTCTGAAATATTTGCTCACTATCACCAGTTTCAATGAGTTGATCAATCATCTAAAAAGGTTTTCACAGTCCATAAACTCAGAATAGAAAACATTTTCTATAAATGCATAAAGACTGAACAAGTTTTCCATCTATGTAGAGCTCACCTCTTCATTTGGCTTAGTCCCAGTGACTGCTCAGTTTAACAAAAGAAGACAGAAAAATGTTATTATACATATATATATAAATATATATATTCAAAATAAAAACAAGTACACTTAGCCATAATAATTTTTAAAATAAAATTTCTATGATAATTGCGATCATGCTAACCTGTAAAGACCCTTCTCTCGATTACGTCTCTGTATTCATCTTGTATAGTTTGTCTCAAAATCTGAAAATGAAAGTTTAATAAGTCTTAAACAGGAAAACAGTCTTTGTCTCTACCAAGAATGAAAGCTTGGATTAGAGAAAAGAAATAATTACCTGAAAGTCATTTACGCTATCCTTCAACTTTTTTTTCAGGGTACTGAACATCAAAGTCATAGTGATAAATTACACAAACTTAGTCATCAAAATAAACAAAAAACTAAAATAAATAAATAAATAAATATATAAAAATTACACTGTCATGGACAATCTTGATCGGTCAACGGCTGTTCCTTTTTCACAACCAGGTTTCTTACGATTTCTTAAATTCTGATGAAGAAACAGAGAAGAATTTTAGGAATAATGAGTACTGGAACAGTAAATATTAAGAAAATTTAACCAGCTAGAAAGAATTCTTACATCTTGATCGATTTCCTCTAACTTAATTTTGATCGCCCGTGAGATCTTTCCTACTTCATCCATCTCTCTTTGCATTTTTTTCTTGATTGCTGGAATAAATTCAAATTCAGTACCGTTAATTCATGTAGAACAAAAAATGAATGCTAGCTAAAGCTAGGCTGCCTACCTCTCATTGCAGAAGCTTTCGTGATCGATTTTGTCTCCTCATTAGCTTCCTAAAATCATGTAACAATGGTTCATATAGTTCTTATGTACCATAAGAATCAAACTCAATTTTCTTGGGTTTTGATATAATAAAACTCTTTCGGATGTTTGAAACATAATGTGTTAAGAGTTAGAAACCAACTTACCACATTTTCATGACCAGAATAAAATTGAAATTTTATAAATTGTTATGACTTGGGGGACAATTTAACTGGATGATACTTAGGTAGTTGACCTAAGCTAGGAAGCTAATGATTCACTCATTTGAAGCCCTTAATTGGTGATTAGATGATAAACATGATCTTTTGATAATAATTAAATACCTCTAATTTAACATTTTTTTTTATTACAAACCTACCCAAAGGGTTGGATTGAAAGGCCTAGTTGTGAGCTAGGCTTGATATTTGAACTTATTTAATGAGGTTTAGAAAAGAAAAGCACGATTGATTAATGAACACCTCCAAACACTACAAGCTCAACTTTAGTGGTAGGTATAGGATCCTTAATGACTTGAGCTTGCCCTATGGGTACCCACTTACATAACTCCTAAATAAAATATCAAGTGAATGTCTTAGCGCCCTGTTCATGGGATAATTGAAATATTAAGGTTCACCAAGCACAGGGTATATGAATTCATTGAAACTTACTTTAACTTAGGACAATTAATTGAGCAATGTATAAGTCCAAATGAACTCGAAAAGGTTCAAAGAGTTCTAAAAGTTCTTTAGGGATATGCCCCGAACACTTTTAAGACATTTTGGAGATTTTGAAGGACTACTAGACTAATTACTCTTTGCTCAAGAAAATCTTCCTTAGCATGAAATAAATTATTATTGAAAGTTCTGAGCATACCTGAAGCTTCCTCAGATTTATATTGAGCTTTTCCATTAAATCCTCTACCTCTTTCACCTAATGCAATGTAGGAAAGATGCACACCGTTAAACAGCTCTGAATTTTATACAACAGGCTTAAAAATACGTAATTTTCAAATTTATACTGAATAAAAAATAATCTGGATTGAATTAAACGTTTTGATTAAGAGAATGGAGCTGAATTTGGGTACCTCTTTAAAAAAATCTTCCATGCCATAATCTGACTTGAAACTCTCCGCGGGAATTCCTAATTCGATATCTAATCCACCTGGAGACTTGAGTTTCGAAGCTGCAGAAGAATCCTGCAAAAAAAGTGGAGAAATGTTAATATTAAGGGCTAGCTAATCTTTATTCTATCACATTCATGATTTTTCTTCACTAAAATCCTCAAATATCATCCATTAATGCCATAAAATACGTCTCTTCAGCTTGCTGCAAAAATCAATATTCAAGTAATCATATTTCATAACTAGCCGTTGTGATTTTAATTTCTCATTTCTCAGTCATAATTGAAAATTCAAGTCACAGGACCAAATCAAACCCAAAGAGAGTAAAAATTGCAGGTCTGAGAACCCCTAATTAGTTCCATCAACATTTTTTAACCTTAATTTTGGAGATAAAAAGGCTTTTACAAGTAGATTAATATCAAAATATAATCAAGGCAATGCTGTTAAATTAAAACATGCAGGAAATTTAAAAATCAAAGTAAATTTCACATGCCTAAGGAATTGGAAGGTGGATTTTACCTTGAGAAGGTCGTTCATTGTCGCTCTTAGGCAGATTGGTCGAAGAATTGAAGGCAGAGAGAGAGAGAGAGATAGAGAGAGAGAGAGAGAGAGAGAGAGAGAGAGAGAGAGAGAGAGAGAGAGAGAGAGAGAGAGAGAGAGAGAGAGAGGGAGGTGCAGAGAAGAGAAACTAAAGGGAAGATGCTGAGAGATTTTAAAAGCAATATAAAAGGTTAGACAAGAGGGTGGCAGGCCGGCAAGAGCTAGTTCAATGGTATGGAGCATCCAGTGAGAACAACGTATTTTTGAGTCAATATGAATTTTATAAATAAATCAATCAAAATTTATATTGCGCCTTTGTTAATTTAAATGTTATGTTATGGAGATGCCTAGTCTAAGAGTAATTTTATTTTTTATTTGTTAAAGGAAAACTTAGCCTTTTATTATTAATTATAATTCGGTATAAATAATACGTAATAGTTTAGAGATCAAGTTATGAATGTGATCGTGTCTCAAGTCTTTGAGTTAGGATTTGGGAGGGATTTACTACTTCCCAAATTGTAAGATTTGAGAGAGCGCCTACCTCTCAAATTTTAGGTAATTATCCTATACATGTAGTGTTGTTTGTGTTATTGAAGAAAGAAATTAGTTTTACCCTAAGTTTTGTGTGGAAATTTGTGTTGGATCATATCAAACTGATATCAGAACATAATGAATTCTGGGAAGGTTCTTTGTGTTATTGAAGAAAGAAATTAGTTTTACCCTATGTTTTGTGTGGAAATTTGTGTTGGATCATATCAAATTGATATCAGAGCATAATGAATTCTGGGAAGGTTTGTGGCAGCGATTAGATCTCAGTGTACCCAAGAAAACTAACATGGCCGTTGCAAAAAGCATTCATTGTGATTTCGGCATATGGGGGTCCGCATCTCTGATAGCAATGAAGGGATTACGGTTGTTGAACCTTTGTATCACCTTGATCGCAAGCTAGCTAAAATGATAGGATCTTTGAGCTACATAGAAGAAATGCGGGATCACGATACAGTCACAGTAAGAGCTAGCTAAGAAAAAGCCAACAAAATCACTTTGTTGCTTACACCCTCACAATACAATCACGATTAAAGCTAGTTGAGAAGGCCACGTCAGAAATACAACAAACATCCAAAACTTTCATCATTATTCTGAGATTGGTATCAGAGAAGTTAGAGGACACGATTCAAACTACTTGGGAAGCAGCGTCCAACATTCCTCGTTAAAAAATATACTAGTGAAGATGACATCAAAGAAAGAAGATGAATTGAGAAAAAAATAAGGAAGAGATGAGCCCAATTAGATCTGGGATGGAGGAAAAGTTCTCCACCATAGAAGGAAATTCTTTTTTCATAAACGATAGGTTTTTCCAATGGAAAATTTATTTGTTGGCTGATTCAGGTACTATGAGGAGATGATGAGGAAACTTTTTGAGATGCAATCTGAGATCCCGTCGAAGGTTTAATATGCAACCCTACCCATGAGTTGGCTAGAGAATCCTTGGTTAAATTGGAGGGGAAAGAGATCGTATGAGAGGAATAAGAGGAAGAAAGCACCCACCATCATGATCCGTTTCTATTGGATGCAATCAAACGAGAGAGTTTTGTCTAAGATACATGGTGGAAAACACTATAAGGTAGAAAGTTTGGGTAGGGATGATAGATTGGGAATTTGCAGATGCTGTTCTTTAAAGGGGGGAGATGCACATGATTGGGTGTACTGGGCGGAGCAATATCTCGTGTTGGTTGAGCTGAATGGGGAGGGAGAAGGAAGCTCATGACAGTGTTAAAGAGAAAATCCTTAGCTTGATTTTAGTGAACGGAGGCTAGATACCCAATCCCCTTGTAGGAGAAATTTAAGGATTGTTTGTTGGACCATTTTTGACCCATTCAAAAAGGAGACCTTCACGAGTAATTATTTTCTAAACTCTGGAGGGGATTTCCATAGAATATATAGAGATATCTGAGTTATTTTTGGGACAGATAAAGCTAATTTTTGAAGTATTATTAGTGAGAAATTCTATGGAGGGGCTAAAGCTCAATATGTGTGTAGCACTTCATATTTTAAGACCATGAGGATTGGAAGAAACTAAGGAATTAACGTAGTTAGTTGAAGATAAAAAAGTAATTAAATGAGCTAATAGGAGTAGCATAATTGAAGCACCCTACTAAAATACTATAGCACAGTGATTTAAAAGCTCAAATAGTGAGAGTCTAAATGGAGGCTCCCTAGGACATGAATAATAGGCCGTGCCTAAGGACGACATTCAAACACCTTACAGAGACTAATATTTAGAAGAAGCAAGAAAATGAGTTATGTTTTTGATGTGATGAAAAATTTTTCCTAGGAAATTTGTAAGGATCGGATATTACATGTTTTCATAGTGTGTAATGAGGAGGCAGCGGAGCTTGATCCATCGATAGTTTTCTTTTATTCACCTTGAGGACCATTTTCATTCCTTTCTCATTTTTTTAAAGGAGTCACCAGTTTGTTCATCGTCGTATAATTTTCTTTTACCAAATAAATCTCTCTTTCGGATCATGTGAATGCCTTGAGGACCATTTTCATTCCTTTCTCATTTTTTTTAAAGGAGTCACCAGTTTGTTCATCATCGTATAATTTCCTTTTACCAAATAAATCTCTCTTTTGGATCATGTGAATCTACCAAATAAATCTCTCTTTCGGATCATGTGAATGATCAGGAGAAGAGGAACCAAAAAAGATGTACATACGACAAAGGCGACAAGAGAAATAAATTGTGGACAACCTTCGTACGATATACCTCACAATGACATGTTGAGTATGTCTTCCCAAACAAGACCGGGCAAAAATACCGTAGACCAGTAACCACAAAAGAATACCTATGTAAGCTACCTACAATGAGAGATTTAGGTGTGTTTATCTCTTTTTTGGTCTAGAGAGCTCCCATGGGGATGTACCTCACTTGGTTAATTGCATCTTACGGGTTGCTCAAGAATACTCTTCATCCAAAGGAGTTATTCTTACATTAGTAGAGACGACTAGCACAAAAATATCAAACGATGCTTATTTCACATGGGAATGCTCTGATGCTTTCAGACCTCCTGTTAAGCCACGGAGCTGAGAGTCAGTCTCTCATTTTCTCACATGGTAACAAACTTATCAACATATGGAGCCTGCACAACAATTAAATCATCCCGACTGGGGTATCCCTATAAGTTAAAGCACACTGAGCCATAAGGGTAGACGATAATTTGTTGTTTCCTAAATTAGCGATAGCTCACCTTTAATCGGGTCGTTGAGATGATTCTAATGATGTCAAAGGGAGTGATATGGCTCAACAAGGGTAATCAAATGAAGGGAGGAGTAATCCCCAAAAAGGTGAAGGTAGTTGGTTCAGGTTACCACGAACCCATCATCCCAAGAAACTAGGACCCTATGTCTATCTAATCATGAAGTTTGTCGACCCAACACATCCAAAAATCCTCAATCAGCAATCTATGAATTGTTTCATTCACGGGGACCTCGGCAACTCAAAGACTAAAGGAACGAAACTCTATCCTATGACTATCAAGTCAAGGTCCATGAGATGGACTTATACTCGTTGAAATGGTAAGGATGCTGTTGGAAAGGAAGTGATAGGGGTGTTCAGCTATAAAGCTGGAAATGTTACCAAAAAAAGGACTTAACTCCATATGGTTTGGGGAACCTACTAATGACCTAAACATGATGGGAAACCATCTAAGTAGAAATCTATGCTGCGAAAATCAGGTTGTAAAAGTGCGGGAACTTCTCATCAGGACATGCAATATGATGCATTTATTTAGAGCGATCCTTAGATATTGTGAAGGCTCTATTAATTTTTTCTTGGGTGAAGGTCATGCTATACAACCCAATTTAAATTTGGTACGAATTCCATGCACGAGAGTAAAAGTAGATTTTAAAAATTCTAACAATTTTAATACTAAATTTAAGATTATCCCAAACTTTTATGATTAGGATTTTTTTATAAAAAAATTTAAAATTTTACAATCTTGGAGAGCCTAAATTATATTTTTTGAAGCATCCAAGATAAACTAGAAAGAAGTAGGGAAAATAATCCAAGCATGCAAACATGCAAAAAAAGAAAGAAAACAAGGAAAATATTAAATAATAAAGGTTACTACTGCTGGGTTGGTGACAAATTCCATAAGCAAAAAAGGTGGTCAGGGCCGCATAAGTGCGCATCTGGTCCTAATTCTACAAATAAATGAGAATTATAAATAAGTTTTGGGACACGAGCAAATAGCTCAAGTCCCTATCATGTGGTTCTATCGGTCTGGCACCCAAAACTCGTACCCATATCTTATTTCTAATAAAGAACTCTCACAGAGACTCTAAAATTTCATAAGAAAAATTAAAAAAAAAAAAGACTCGACTTACATGAAGAAAACGTTAGCAAGAAAGTCAACAGATATGCATTGCATATGGGCCATTCCTGACACGAGGAGCTAAGCAGTGCTTGTAGTAAAAAAGAGTTAGTCATAATCATTACATTGATTATCTCTGTTACACATGAGGTGTGTATTTAGGCATGGCCTCCTGCAAGAAGACCAACCAAATATACTACCATGCATATCAATACAGTAAGCATGCAAGCACACTAAGGGCACAAAAAGAGATGCTTGGTTTAGGCAAGAAAATTCATATATAACTATTATCAGGACATCAAAAAGGACTATCTAACATCCTAGTTCTTAGTCTAGAACACCATCTAAGTTAGTGTCCTAATTATCATTTAAGTGAGTATAGGATTATGTCAGTAAGCTAGCATATGTTTTGACAAGGTCGTCGTCACCGGTCCCATGCTAACGATCTAAGAATTCTAAGAGGTACAACTATATGCTGGTTTTATAAAAGCTTTTGAAAAATATGAGCTCATGTACAGTCTAAGCAAAGTATGCAAGTATTTTCAAAATATTTTTTGCAAGTATGATGCGTAAGAAAAAAAAATATAAATTTTTATACTTTAAAATAGGTCCTATGGAAAGAAAAGCCTATGTGGCACCCGTTAGACCCCTTGGAACCTTAGCACAACATATGT